GTTATGCTCTTGCGCTGCACATTCTCTTACGTGATATCATGCAGGGTCTGGAAGGATCAGGCTGATAATTTTATTTTTAAAACCTGAACCGAGGCTTTTTGTTAGCACTGATTGAACAAACAAGCTTTCTTCCTACATCAAAGTATCTTCTGCTCCTGGTATACTGAAAAGGGGTGACCCTCTGGGAAGTCCTTATGAGCATTACCGCTCCTGATGCATTACAAAACGATATAAAATTAAATACAGAAAGTTCACAGCAACAATCCGGAGGTTGGAGAAGAAATCCTGAAATGGGAATTAGGGCACGTCCAAAAAGCAGCACTGCTTTTTCACGGCTATTGTTTGAAAATGTTTCTTTTTCTTTTCTTTCTTTCTTTCTTTTTTTTTTTTTTCTTTCCTTTCAGCCTCTTTTCTAGTATTTCCAGAAATTTGGAAATCCCACGTTCCTGCCAGATTTGGTGAGGTCTTTTATATCTACCCATAAGGCTTTTTCTGAATTTCCTCCCTGGGCAGCTGAAGCCAGCGGGTGCCGATGCGGGCACCGTCCCCCCTCTATCCCGGGGTGTGCAGCCCTGGGGACCAGCAGCTGCTGGACAAAGGCTGCCTGGATCCGGCCACTCGTGTGGCACAGCACTGAGATGCAGCCCCCCAACCCTGCCGTGCCGATGGGAGCCGGGGGGCACGTCCCCCGACACAGCTCCCGTGTGGGGAGAGCTGACCTGCCCTCCAGCCTCGCTGCTTTTGCCTCCGAGGGCCAGCGGTTGGCCTCCTGTGTTGGCTGACAAATGACTATTTTTCTTTCTTTAAAGAGAAATGTTGTCCCGGGGAGGGGGAAGCTGAAAGCGAAGCGTCCCATCCTGTCCCAGTAAGACACAGTTTTGCTGCTCGGGTTTGCCTCCCGAGCTGGAAAGGTCGTGGCTGGCTATTCAACGTGTCCCTGGATTAAACGCTGGACACAAATAGCTGACCCAGCCCGGCCCCACCTGCCCCTCCAAAGTCCTGCCTGAGCTTATGGGAAATGAATCCCCCTGGGTCTTGTTCCCCTCCTCTCGAGGAGCCTCTCCCTGCCCCTTTCCCATACCCAAGCTCTCTCTTCCCGTTGTAGATGACCCTCCCCTCATGATTTCCCCACTGAGCAGGGGCCGGTGTGGGGGGTGTGGACACACGTAGGGCTGTGGGGGCTGAGCCCTGTGGTCTTTGGACATCAGGGAGCAGGAACACCTAACTGTGCTGATAAGAGTTTAATTATCGATGCAAAAGGCGTTGTTGCATGGGGGGGAGCCTTGCTGTGAATCTTGGGAGGGCTTTGAAGTTGTGATGGAGAGGAACTGAAGCCCAAGGGAACAGGGCTGCTCCCACTGACCCTTCCTCCTCAAGCCTGCATTACAAAGCCCCTGCCTGGGAGGGAGACAGCAGAGTAATTAGAGCGAGGACCGCACTGGGTTAACAATTAACGAGGTGGCTCAGAGCCCTCTTTGGTCCCCCACTGCTCTTCCAGAGGCTGGGGCTCAGCACATCCCCCAGCTTGTCACCCCTGGGCTTGTCCCACCACCCTACCACGCATCCCTGGGCGGGATGAGGGTCCGCAGACTCCCCTGGGCTGGGCAGTCATAGTTCATGATGCACCATTCCTGAGCCTAGGGTGCTTGGAGGTGGCACCCCAAGGTGCCCTCACCTCTGCAGCTTTGGAACACATGCCTGCAGGAGCTGTGGCCACCAGCACAAGTGTTGGGAAAGGTTTCTGAGTGCTCACTCTGTAGATAGAGATACCTGGCAAGAGATATAAACGTACATCCTCTGGATGCTAGTCCCTGCCTCAGCTTCCTCACTCATCCCAGGAAGTGTTTAGAATTGGTAGATATGGGTGCAGATATGGATATGGATGCAGATGTAGATATAAAAATGAAGATGCAGGTATAAATAAATTATATATGTGTTCAGCTCCCCTATAATCTGCATCTATGAGATTGCAACGTGCACTGCTCATGCAACCTTACATGATACAACTCCGTAAGGGAGCAAGGAGGTCTGGCTTGCGTGAGATTCTGCCTCAAGACCCCAGTTGGGGAAGCGACCTGCTTGCTCCTAGGTGCTTCCATCTGAACGGGCAATCAGGCTTGTCAGCTTGTCCACCAGGGCGAGAATTTCCCCTGACACCTCCTGGTGTTTTGGCTCAATACGCCGAGGCAAGGCCAAGGCACAGAATAGGGAAAATACAAAATGGTGCTCAGGGAGACAAAATGGAACCCGCAGTTTGAGACTGATACGTGCAGACAGTCCATAACATCAAACAGAATTGCCCAGCTGTACGAGAGAGGTCTCCCAAACCGGCATGTTTTCTGAGAAACCTTGCAGCTGAAAGGGGTCCTTTGTGGAGGTCTCGCTCGCCCTCCGGCATCGCGGGCGGGGTCTTCCTGAGCATCACCCCCACCCAGAGAAGCACAGGAGCTGGGAGGTGACCTGCAAGGGGCTGCAGGGGGCACTTGTCGCATGCCATGTGCTGGGTTCTCCTCGGGGCCGGGCTGCAGCCTTTCCCTGGGATGGAGGGCTGGGTTTTGGGGGTGTATTGGTCTCCTCACCCCTGAGCACAGCGTGTGCTGACGCTGCTGGGCGGCTGCTCGCACCCACAGGTCTGTGAGCTCATGCCAGGGCTCTTGGGCACACGATGCCTTTGTATTTGTGCAGTGTCCACTGCCGTGGGCTTCGTGCACCTGGCTGGAGAGCTCGCTGAGGAACAAAAGACGTGACCTGTCCCTCTTCCTGCAAAGAGGCACGAGGGATCTGCTCCATGGCCGTGCTGCAGGGGATGCAAGCTTGTGTGGTCGTTTGTGCACCAAAGTACCCACAAGCAGAGATGGCTCCTTCATCTCTGCGAAGCTGGGTGACAGCAACAGGGCCCACACAGTGAGATGGGCTGTAGCAAGCTGGCTCAAAGTCCCATAAGCCTGGGCTAGATCCCACCATGCCCGATTCTGCCTCAGCATCATTCCCTGTGGTGTGATGCTCCAGTTTGGACCCCAGTCTGTGCAGGCTCCTCATGCTGCCTGGAGAACAGCAAGAGGCAGCCACGTCCACTGCTGAGCATCTCGGCGTGGGAAAGAGGGTGCAGAGGCTGGGGCGGGGGGGGGGGGGGGGG